CACTAACGCAAAAGCAGAGATTACGGTTGGTTATAACGTAAATGATGATAAATCACGAATTATTCAAAATGTTAAAGTTAATGTTAGCCCTGAATTAACAAGGTCAGCAACTCAACCAAATTTATTAACTCGTGACTTACCGAAGAATGAGGAGAATGAAGAAAACCATGAGAATGGAGACCCAATCATTTTATCTGAACCCGGTAAAGAACCTGTTGAAATTCCCACTTATCCAACATACCCCCCACCTCTTTCATCAAACATCGAGAACCCATATAAAATAGACATTAATTCTGAATTAATGAAAATTTACCGTGATATAATAATTAATAATTATGATTCAATAATAAATTTAATTGACCAATCCGGTTTAATTATTTTACCTTATGAATCATTAATTCACATTATCGCCATTCTTTGTGATGTTCAAGATTCAGACGTTAAGATTCAATTTTTCATAGATGATGAGGTTTCATGCTGCGGAACAGTTGCAAAAATAAATCCTATAAAGGATATTAGCACAATTAAGATATCAAAGAACGGAACAACAACTGAACTTCATTTAACATATAATGATATTTATAATAAAATAGTTGATGAATATAAAATATCACTTGAAAAATTCTTTGTTAAGGCTATTTAATATTCAAGCATTAACATTATCGAATAATAATCCTTTGAATCATAATCAATAATAATTGACCTTTCACCAGTTTCTATCGTTTGTTTTATTTCTTTTTGTTCCCCACTATCCGGATCGGTCATTGTAATTGTTTTTGTTATAGTATCAGCTTTATCTTTAACTTCAATCTTTTTTCCATCGGGATATTTAAACCAAAATTCCAAAAATTCGATATTGTCAATCTGTTCATATTTTAATCTATCAATTACATTTTTAATACCATCTGAAAATCTTATGAAATGGTTATTATATGGGTTTGATTGAACTAAATTTGAATGAAGTGAAATATAACCTGTTGATGAATATGACATTGACTCATATTTTCTGAAAACACTAAAATTTATAACATGAATGAATTTCTTATTCGTTGAATTTATGAATTCTTGAGGTAATCTTATTCTAGTTTTATTTATCACTGGAAAATAACGCTTTACCATATTTTTATTCGTAATAAAAATGTCAATTATCAATATTATTTCGAATAATAGCTGTGAATTAAATTTAACAGTTAGCGGAATTTATAATGTTACTCTCGTTTCTGTGAGTGGTAAATTTAATCCCATTCTTTTAGACCTTTCAGATTATATATCATTTATTAAAGATGACCATGAAAAAACGTATGATATGTATATAAATAATGTGATAGCGAAATGGGATATTAACACGATTTTAAGTTATTTAAATGAATCATTTATCGTATGGTATGAAGAAAATTTTAAATCAAACCTGATAAACTTTTTGAACTTGATGAAATAATAACCTTATTAAATTTCCGCTGAAAATTAAATTTTGTACTCCTCATCTTCGTTCATTGTTGGGGATATTAAATTTTGAAAAAGATGTTGGGGATGTTTTGTATTCTGACACTGGTTCCAATTTCATTTTAATCAAATGTGATAAAGTTAATACCCCAATGAGATTTTCACATCAAACATTAGACCCTAACTCTTACCCATCAATACAAAACATTTTATCCATCACAATTTCTTCGAACCTCCTGTTTGCTTTGTAGACCCAATATCTAGCACAGTGCTAGATATTCAAAGCAAACAGGAGGTTCGAAGAAAATTAAAGAAGCAAACCTTCCACCGCACACTCATACAGGAACGACAAACACAACAGGAAATCATTCACATTCAATAACAAAAAGAGGTTATATAAATCTTGCAGCGGGTTCGAATAGATGGGGAATGAATAGATATGATATCACAACTGACCCAGTAGATTCAAGCACAGGTATTTTCTGTGGAACCTCAGGAAATCATTCACACACTTTCACAACAAATCCAACAGGCTCGGGTAAAGATTACATGCCACCATTTGTGACTCTATTCGCATGGTACCGCGTTCATTGAATGTGCTTGAGACTTGACCCAAAGGGTTTAGGCTTACCGAATGAACTAAATATATTTTATGTCTGTAATTAATTAGGTAATGAGATAATGGATGAACTGCAGAAATAATGTTTACGTTAAGTGACTCAAAGAGTCCGGAGACAAAGTCTCATGTTTACGTTAAAGGTTTTTAGGTTATTCAATAATTAATTATTTTTGAAGAACTGAAGGTGCTACCATGTTACCATGTGCTACCAGGTTAATTAACTTCTCTGAAAAAATGAGACAACATGACATTTTGACAACAAGCCCGGAAATAAATGTTTACGTTAAGTGACTCAAAGAGTCCGGAGACAAAGTCTCATGTTTTGTCATGATTTCATCGTATATGTTTTGTCATGATTTCATCGTATATGTTTTGTCATGACTTATGAAGGAGGCGTTGAAGATGTTATACCATCTAAGAACTTGAGAGAGTCGAAGCCAACACATCTGGGTCCATTAGAGCGGGAGTTCTGGAAAGACAAAAATATGCCAGAAAGAATAAGAAAATTCTTCTAAACTTTTTCATTAGATGTAAATCAGACATGAACGAGAACAGTCATGATATCATTAATGGTACCATTTATTTTAACATAAAGACGCAAAGCGGCGGGGCATAGCCCATGAACAAAAATAATGTTTATGTTAGCATGTTAGATCTAACACGTTTTCTAACCACTTTTCTAACATGGTCTAAAACTCTCGAAAATCATGAATTTTTGACATTTCCTTATGAAAGAAAAATAACGCTAATTTTTTTCTAAGAAAAATTTTTATCTTGTATGTAAAGATATGATTTCAACAATAGGTTCTACAACACTTCAAACAACAACTTCACCAAACTCTTTAGTTATGAATCCAACATCTATGTTAGTAGAGATGAAAAGCTTCATTCCTTCTTCATATACTTTTGAGACAGAAATACAAAGAATTAAGCAAGAACTTTTAACAAGTAATTTAGACTGTAGGGCGAAAGATGAAACAAATGAACAGTTCTTTATGACATGCAGGACATTATTGACCATTTACCAAATTGCCTGAAATCCAACAACAAAAGCTCACTATTCATGAATTCGATGAATAGAAGTGAAACAACTGACTCAGTAGAAATAAAGAAGTTCATACGTAAAGTAAACTATGAATTCCTTGGATATCATTGCAACCATAAAGTTATGGACAAAGATTGCGACATGGTATATAAGAATGTTTCTGACATATATAAATCTGAAGAATTTAAGACCTACGACAACTTTGTTTCATTAGTTGCCGAATGTGTATGGCAGATAAGAGATAAAGATAAAAGATGTAAAATATGGAATGGACAAATAAGACCCGCTATGTTTGAGTTAAAGAAAACCATTGACGCCTTAGTTGTTCTAGCAGGTCAAATTTCAATGTATAACGCAAAAATGAATCCGCAATGTTCAAAATGTAAAGCAGCAATAAGGAAATATAACTACTCCGTCAAAGAGATAGAACGTATGCGAAACGACTATGCTGACTTAAAGAAAGAAGTAGAGAAACCAGCAGAAGATAAAATGGACATGTTAGCATTTCTGAACAAAAACTATCCAACAGCTAACGATTTCCTATTATCTGATGTCAAGAAGAAGTATAAAGAAACCTTCGGCATAGTTAAAATTTTTGATATTCTTCGTGAAGAAATAGAAGCTACAAAACTGTTTAAAGTCATGAACCATCGCAACATATACCATGTAAAACGCTTGTAAATAGTTATGTTAGAAAAGTGGTTAGAAAACGTGTTAGATCTAACCATCTACCCTAAACATTATTTTTGTCTGAAAAATGACCAAATTTCATGAATTTCATTAGTTAGAAAAATAACGCTAATTTTTTCTAAGAAAATTTTTTATTTTGTATGTAAAGACAGTAATGTCAAACATTGAGTTTGAAACAGTTAGAAAGATTGACAATGACACCAAAGTGGTTAGAATAGGTGATTTAAACGTAAGATACTCAAAGAAATACAACAAATATTCTTTGTCAGACATTATATCTCCATCTGGAAAGAAACAAAGGACTGGGTTAGAATTGCTTCTACTCAGAAAATTTTGACAAGAAATCCTGAGCTTATGATATCAGTAGCATTTCATGGAACAAGAGCATATCTTATAGACAAAAGTCTTATACCAATAGTTTTGTTATGGTTAGACCCAGTTGTTGGATATAACTTCATAACTTATGGTTCATTCGATACGGAACGTTGCAGTGAAGGCTTACTTTACATCGTTCAGAAACCGAAGGACTTCAATACAAAGAGATATAAGATAGGAAGAACATATAATATAACTCAAAGATATGACAGTACAGTCAATAGAGTCAAGGTTGTGTTCGTTAATGATATGAGAGCTGCTGAAACAGAACTACTTGAAAAGTTTGAGAAAAGGTATGGTGCTCCATGAAAGGTAAAGAAACGTTTGAAGTAGATGAGATAGATAAAGCTATAAAATTATTTGACGAAGTTGCTGAAAAATACATGTAAAGCGTTTATTTTTGGTCTTTTGTGAAAGTCAGAAAAAATAAAGTTAGTTTTAAAATTATTTTTATTTTGTATGAAATGACAGTAATGTCAACATCAGAGAACACAACAACTGCTATCGTTCATGAAGCCATAAATGAAGAATACGAGTACATACAATATAACAAACAACTTCGCCTCATTCGTTCGGTCAAAGATGACATGTACCAAATGCAAAGTATAATGAATGCTCTTCGTTCTACAAAGCAAGCATATCATTGGTTTGAAAACCAACAGACAAAAGAACTTTTAGAAGAATTTCCTCATATGATTGCTTCCCTCGGAAAACCGAGAGAAGAGATTCCGTATGAAAATCGCAAGAGGGTAGAAAACATGTTAGAAAAGGTGTTAGATCTAACATTCTAACATAAACATTATTTTTGGGTCATTTACGTTCATTACGATGAAGTCTTGCCAAAACGTCTACCCTGTCAAAATTGAAGTTGGAGACAGAAGATACGTGGTTTTAAGAGTTAATGGTAAATTCAAGGGTCAATTTGATTACTTCAAGAATTTAATGGATTCATGCACAAAGGAATTTTATGATAACCTTTTAACATATTTTATCAATTACGACCTTTCATCATTTAATGTACGAATCATACCGATGACTGAAGCCAAACAAGATTTAATTGAATTATCAACAAATCCTTTAGATGTATGGATAAATACACATTATGATGAATTGTGTGCAGGTATGACATATAAAAATGCTCTATTCTGCAAACCATCAGACATGAAAGACAAAAACTTTCAAATGAGCATTAAGGATAAATGTGATAAGAAACAGAGAAGAATAGATGGTAAACAAACATGGTGTTATGTTTTGAAAGAAGAAATGAAAGGATTATATAAACAGGTTGAACCAAACGATAATGAGGATTCATTTACTGACGATGAAATACCTGTAAATGATGCTTTATAAAGTATGATTGGAATTTATTTTTGCATTAATCCTGCTGTGTTGTCAAAATGTCATGTTGTCTCATTTTTTCAGAGAAGTTAAATAACCTGGTGACATGGTGACATAGTGACACCTTCAGTTATTCGAGATGTTGTCAAAGAGGAATAAAAATTAAATTTGGATAGAGTTTAAAAATTCATCTTTATTAAATTCATCTCTTCCAATCAATTTATTTATTCTATTAAATTCTTTTATTTTTGCTTCACTCAGTTTAAGGATTGAACGGTAAGTTTCTAATTTTTCGATTATTTCTTCATCGTTTTCAATTACTTTAGTTTTATGGGCATCAACCCCACCACATTGTGGCTTCTTTTTGTAATAGCATATTTTTGATTTAATTCTGTTTAGTTTCTTTTTATATTCATTGTCTGGACTCTTGGCTGCTTCGTTGTCACTCATTTCTTACGAAATAAAAAAAATTAAATATTATTTAAATATAATGGAGTAATAAAATAAATCGGAATTTCTATTAATTTATTGTCAACTTCAACTAATGCATTGCCGTTAATATATCTAACAAATTCAGCTATTGTGTCAAATCTTCGTCTTCTTTTTGTCATTGATTTATCAGTTTTTCCATAATCGAGATGAATCAAAACTTTATCCCCTTGTTTAAAATTCATGAGCCCCGAATTAATTTGTTCACGTTTAACATCATTCAACCTTTCCATTTGCTTTCTATATATTCCCATTCTTTTGAAATATCATTTTTCATTTCCACTGGTTTCATGTTTATTGTTCTATGCCATGTATTATTGTAATAATATACTAACTGCTGTATGATGGAGTCATGATTTCCATCCCAGTATATCTGACCATTAACCCTAACGCATCTCTAAGAGTTCTCATTACCGCATCAACTATTTTATTATGAAACGTATATGGAGAGGATGAAAAGAAAAATTAATTTGTGGGAAATAATGAGTCATAGCTGCCTGAAATCCTTTATCACCATCACCCCTGATATTATCTACTCTTTCATGATCTAGTAAGTATTGAATAGCTCTTCTTGTTTCCTGTTCTGTTTTCCCTTTCACCGGAATGCAATATAAATATCTAGTGTTAATGTTAATGGCAAATAAATAAGTAACGTTTCCTTTGAATATTCCAGATGATCGATTTCGTATGAATATGGATATGGTGCAAATGAAGGGCGACTAAATTTTTCCTTTAACGGTTGAATTTTCGGGTCAATTGGTTTATTTAATATCTTGAAATCCTTTTTAAAATCTTTTTGCTTCTTTAATGTTTGAAATGGATATAATAAAGTGAATGATGAAGGATTAACTGAAGGAGGAGGCGGTACTGTCGTTGGAGGTTTTGGTATTGCAAGTGGTTTAATTTTATCTGCTTTGATTTTGGATGATGAAGTTTTGGAATTCATTCCTCCTTTCATTAATTCTGGATGTATTCTATTCATTTGTTTTAAATATGCTGTATATAAAGGTTTGATATACTTTCCCGCTTCGAGTTTATGTTGAAGGATGAATTCCAAAAGTTGATCTTCATTTAAAAGTCGGGCTGAATATGGTTTAACTAATGAATCATAAATTAAACATGTGCTTCATTTATGGTCTGAAGGACCTGGGCGTTTTGCACCTTTTGTTTTTGTTCCTTTGGATTTTGCGGCTCAGGATTATATAATTTATATAATTCATCAATATCTTCTTCTGTTAATACTTTATTTTTGAAATCTTTCAACTGTTTAAGTTGTGATTTAGTTTTTTCCCTTTGTATATTCATTATTTTTAATTTTGTCTTTAATTTCAGAAATTATTTTATTATGATATTTCAAAATTTCATTTTTATAATATGGATAATAATATTCCATATCATCACCCGTTATATTTTTATTATGTTTTTGGAGATATGATTTTAATTCATAATAACTAAGAAAATTTTGATTAAGTACTAAATCATCAATTAAAATTTTTAAATCTGTGTTATCCATTTATATAAAAATAAAATAAATGTTTTAAGGGTGCCCCCCTCTTTGAATCATAGTATCAAAACCATCATTAACGGTTCCTTTTGTCTCTTCTGTGGCATTTCATTAAAAATAAAATTTTAAATTGTATTAAATAAATGGCATACAACATCCATTTTCACAACATACAGCCTTAGTGTGTGCTCCTGTTAATGCAGTCTTACCGATTGTTAAGCGAGTCATTGACCCGTTTTTAAGTTGTAAATTAATATTCTGACCATCAAATATCACTTTATCATTTATTATATCCAAATAATTTTTAGGTGTTAATTGCTTATTTTGTCGTAAACTAACACCTTTCATTTTTTGTGCAATCTTTTTAAAATCACCCCCATCAATTGAATCGTTGAATGATGTATAACACTTAGGACATAAAGCAACCATGTTATCACCTTGTTTCTCAATTGCTAAACCCAATAATTTTTTCTCATGTGCTTTTTCTTCAGCTTTATTCTTTAATTTAGGTTTAAATTTCTCATCAAAACAGATGAAATCAAATGGTGCGAATTTGAAAATGTTTTTATCATAAAATTGTTTATCGGTAACAATTGCTTGAAATGCTTGAGTGTTAGGAAGATTTGGGTCGCCAGCGATTGCCCAATAAGATGAATCAGTATCACCTTCAATGAAATGAAAACGATTAACATCCATGCATTTATACATAAAATCATAAATGAAAACCAAATACCAGTATTTTAGCATTATCTAAAGTGAAGAATGCCTCTTGTAAACATGTATCACATCTATAAAATCTATCTTTAAGCATCACTTGATATGTATCTTCACCTATTTCTCTTATGTTTTTTAAACTTATTTGACATACATGCAACGCGTGCCTTCTGTGCATTCATTATTTTAGTCTTTGCGTAATTTTGTGTATTCATTGCATCGTAACCATATGATCCATTAAGTGAAATCTTGCAAAATAAACTTTTTCCTTTATTTCCTTCTAATTCAGCCTTTTGTCTTTCGTTCATAAATTTGTTCGCAAATTCATTAAAACAAGTGTTTTTAGTAAATGTTAAAATTGATTGAATGTCATCAATGATAAAATGAAATCTGTCGATTAGATACCAAAGATAATAAGAAGAAAATGGTTGATATTGGTTGTGTGTTGATGCTAATTGAGTTAATTTTCTCTGTTTCTGGTCAACTGGTAGATTGTTTGATTTCATGTAATTATACATAAAACTGCCAATTGTTTTTTCATCTGTGATAATATCTAAGTTTCTTATTATCGGTAAAAAGTTTATGTAATCATTAATGTATTTTTCATCAATGTGACCCTTTACTTCAGCCACGAATAAAGTATTTTTCTTCTTAATTATTCCCAGTGCTTTTGCTTTCTTTGTTGCTGTATCACAAATGATAACACCATTCAATCTTCCCTGGCATATACATTTTATGGTCAGTATATTGAATGAAATCATGAGGATTAGATGAAAATGATGAAGGATATAATGAATTAAAGTCAACTCCAACGAAATGAGTCATAATGTTGGTGGTGTCCTCATTTGATACGGTTTTAGTTTCTGGATTATATGAAAGTTTATTAATGTGCGTGATTCCTTTAAGATTAACACGATGTTGAACATTTGATAAACCACCAGTAATTCCATTACGGAGAATGTGATAAGCTTCAACTGAATCTAAAGTCATTGGTAAATTATTTTTTAATGCATAATTTCTTAAATTGATTCTTAAACGTTGAACATCTTCATCTTTATTTGATTTTACGACATTGCAATAACAACACATTAACTGACAATTTTCTTTGGTATGTGGTTTTTCATTATCGATTCTATCCAATGTTGGTTTATTTGCATATGTAAACGCTTTACCACACATTTTGCATTTAGATGAAAGGATTAAATCGTGATAGTATTGAAAATCATCCATTGAAACATTATTTTTAGTATCCCTTTCTGCTTTTTCATCTTGTTTCTTATATGATTCAATTTTATATTTCCAATACTTTTTCGTTAATTCAAAACTTGATTCTATCTCTTCCTCAGGATATTTTTCATTAGGATTAAAGTCTTTATATGCTAAAGCGTAACGAATCATTGAAGCATTCGATGATAAAGAAAGATTATGAAGCACGTCAATTTTATAAACAAATGTTTCTTCAATAATTTTATCAATTGGGTCAATCATAATTTCAACATCTTTATTGCAATAATGAATAAAATATTCTAATCTATTCTTAAAGTTTTTAGCATCATTGAGATATATTTGATAATCACTATCTGATATAGTTTCTTGAGTGAATGGTTCCACTTTATATAATTCTTCTTCGTAATTTTCCCATGTGATGAATTGATAATGGAAAAAGGATTTAACACGTGATTTATTGTTTCCGAAATCTTGAGTGAATTGGTCTAATGTCCCACCCGCTATATAATTTCTGATGTCAATAAATCTCAATTCATATGGAGCGTTTGTTTTCTTTACAATGATTTGCTTAAATTGTGAAGATGAACCCAGCATTGATTTTATTTTCCATTTTGCAGTGTTTAAATCACGAAGAATTAAATTTAAATCAAACTTTCCCGAATTAAAACCTATGATATTCACTTTATTGAATTCCTCATCTAGAAGTTCTTTAAATGTTTTCCTTCTGTTTTTCATTTAATGTATGAGACAAAGTCCCCGCCGTTTGGTCTGAAAGACCTTCAGGACTCAAAGAGTCCGTTTGTGGCTTCAATAATTCATTGTATTGACTCATATTTGATTTAGCAACTAATGAACAGGTTGAAAATAAAAACTCAATCCAATCAGAAATAAAAGAATCACTCGAAGTTAAGCAAAATTCCTCGTATATGTTTTATCATTTAATTTAACCATTGATGATACCATGAATGGTTTTAAGTAAGCGTTCAAAGTTGCACACTCAGAAAGTTGTAATTCTTCTTTAGTCTCTAATGTTTCAAAGTCAAAAGTAATATAATATCTTGTCGGTTTATAATATTTCTGCAAATTGTGAGCTAATAACCACTGATATATCTTCTGTTTCGTAATATGTGGTCATATGGTTGCTGTGTCTTTTGCAATTGAACGTCTTGAATTAATCTCCCATTATTTTCTTTACATTTCTCACAATGCTTTAAAAATCTTCTTTGGTTTTTCCTTTCTGGATCATCACGGATAGAATAAACTTCTTCTTTACAATATGGACAAACTCTATAGCCGGTGAGTGCTTCAACGTCTGTTATTCTGTCAGCGTGAAGTTTTCCACATGGACTCTGTGTTAATAAAATATTTACTGTTTCAAATTCTGGATCTATCATTATTGATTCCACTAATGGAAAGTCTACCTTATTTATGTCCACGTCTTCTGGTTGAGGATCACAATAATAGAAATCAATATTAACATTTAACATTCTCGCTAATCTCTCACTTTCTGATGAAATGTCAAACCCTTCATATGCATCTATTGCTTCATTTAAATAGCTTCTTACGAGTTTTAGGATTAACACCATCAGGAATGTTATAGAAGCGTTTAAATAACCTTCTACCTTCTGCTCTAATTTGATTATCTTCATTTTAGCTGTTCCGTTTTTGTTCATTTATGTAAGAATAAAAAATTAAAAAATAAAGTTTATTTTTTAAAGCCCATAAAATGAATTAAGAACACATAAATTTTTATCATCTGCGACGTGACGAATACATTTTAATTTACTCAAGAATGTGTACCCTGATACATTAAATCTAATTCCTGTCTTATTTAATTTCACAACTTTGAAAAGGAATGTATGAATAGCTATAAAATGATGAGAAGATGTTTTATGGGTTGCTTCCATTTTTTCTGAAATAAATGAATAAATATAATGCTTATACGTTTTCATATCTTTTATATTCTTAATAACGAATGGTATAGACCTTTCAACTTCATCTTCCTTCGGTGCTGTTCTTTCATATGAAACATTATTGGTATCTTCAATAATGAAACCACAATCACACAAAATTTTATAGGTTCCAATGGTTTCTTTTGATATTTTATCTAATAAATCAAAAACTTTATCAACACCTGTGCATTTATTTAAATAATAATTTGTGTAAATATCATGATCTTCTTTCTTAATCGTATTAGTTGCATATGTCACGTTTTTAAGAGCTTTTTTGAATTTTTCGGAATCTAAAGGTGGTGAAAGTAAGATACAAGGGTATTCTTCATTATCAATAAATTGTAACTTATGTTTACGAATAAATTTAGTACCTTCTTCTGAAAGTGTTTCGTCTATTTCACCATCTAATAAATTTTGTGTTGATTCTGAGACATAATTTTTATATCTTTCTTCATGAGATTTCTGAACTGCTGATTCTGAAGCTGGGATATTCATTAAACCCTCTACTTCATTTTCATTATATTTTTCAACTTCTCTTAATTCCTTAATTTTTTCATCTATTTCATCTCTTTTTTTCCAGTCTTTCAATTTCATCGTATTCATCATCTTTAATCCGTTCTTCATAATATTCAGGGAAAACATCAGGTTCTTTGGGTTTTTCTTCTTTAGATGTGGGATATAAGAAATTTATAACATCATCTTTATTCATTTTTCCATCATAATCTAAATCATTTAATAACTCGGCAAATTTTTGACAATTTCTTAAATAATATTTACTAACTTCATAACACATCTCATCTAATATATCCTTTATTTCCTCGTTTGTGAATCCCAATTTTTAACGTCGTTAGTCTTGACGCTCATTTCATACGAATTAAAAATAAATTATTCAAAAATGTAAGACATAAATTTTTAAAGTTTATTTTTTTATTTTTTATTTCATTATGGTAGTGAATCTTTTATTCATGAAAATAATTATTTCTAATTTCTTTTACTCGTTTATGAGGTCTTTGATTATGACTCCATTGATTCCATTCAGGATTTAAACAATGTTTAATTAATCGCGGAATATCTGACATCATCTATATATAGCTTCTTTTATAAAAGATAAAAAATAAATTATAGTAGTATATATGGATGGGGTGTGTGACTTTTTTTGTAAACGTAAGAATTCATACAATATCGAGCGATTTTACTTCATTTTTTTTAACATTAATTTTAAAATATATTTATTTTTTTATTCTTACATAAATGACCCAACAAGTAAAACCAGATAAAATAGATTATCGAATTTTAGAGGATTGTGTTCCTGTTTATATTCAAAGATTTAAAGGGAAGCAATATTATAGAATTGTTAATCCTGAATTCTTTAAATCTAGTATATACGAGAGAGTAAAAGAAATCAGATATAATTATTTTCATGAATGAAAGATTCACTACCATAATGAAATAAAAAATAAACTTTAAAAATTTATGTCTTACATTTTTGAATAATTTATTTTTAATTCGTATGAAATGAGCGTCAAAACTAACAACGTTAAAAAATTAGGATTCACAAACGAGGAAATAAAGGATATATTAGATGAGATGTGTTATGAAGTTAGTAAATATTATTTAAGAAATTGTCAAAAATTTGCCGAGTTATTAAATGATTTAGATTATGATGGAAAAATGAATAAAGATGATGTTATAAATTTCTTATATCCCACATCTAAAGAAGAAAAACCCAAAGAACCTGATGTTTTCCCTGAATATTATGAAGAACGGATTAAAGATGATGAATACGATGAAATTGAAAGACTGGAAAAAATAAGAGATGAAATAGATGAAAAAATTAAGGAATTAAGAGAAGTTGAAAAATATAATGAAAATGAAGTAGAGGGTTTAATGAATATCCCAGCTTCAGAATCAGCAGTTCAGAAATCTCATGAAGAAAGATATAAAAATTATGTCTCAGAATCAACACAAAATTTATTAGATGGTGAAATAGACGAAACACTTTCAGAAGAAGGTACTAAATTTATTCGTAAACATAAGTTACAATTTATTGATAATGAAGAATACCCTTGTATCTTACTTTCACCACCTTTAGATTCCGAAAAATTCAAAAAAGCTCTTAAAAACGTGACATATGCAACTAATACGATTAAGAAAGAAGATCATGATATTTACACAAATTATTATTTAAATAAATGCACAGGTGTTGATAAAGTTTTTGATTTATTAGATAAAATATCAAAAGAAACCATTGGAACCTATAAAATTTTGTGTGATTGTGGTTTCATTATTGAAGATACCAATAATGTTTCATATGAAAGAACAGCACCGAAGGAAGATGAAGTTGAAAGGTCTATACCATTCGTTATTAAGAATATAAAAGATATGAAAACGTATAAGCATTATATTTATTCATTTATTTCAGAAAAAATGGAAGCAACCCATAAAACATCTTCTCATCATTTTATAACTATTCATACATTCCTTTTCAAAGTTGTGAAATTAAATAAGACAGGAATTAGATTTAATGTATCAGGGTACACATTCTTGAGTAAATTAAAATGTATTCGTCACGTCGCAGATGATAAAAATTTATGTGTTCTTAATTCATTTTATGGGCTTTAAAAAATAAACTTTATTTTTTAATTTTTTATTCTTACATAAATGAACAAAAACGGAACAGCTAAAATGAATGATAATCAAATTAGAGCAGAAGGTAGAAGGTTATTTAAACGCTTCTATAACATTCCTGATGGTGTTAATCCTAAAACTCGTAGAAGCTATTTAAATGAAGCAATAGATGCATATGAAGGGTTTGACATTTCATCAGAAAGTGAGAGATTAGCGAGAATGTTAAATGTTAATATTGATTTCTATTATTGTGATCCTCAACCAGAAGACGTGGACATAAATAAGGTAGACTTTCCATTAGTGGAATCAATAATGATAGATCCAGAATTTGAAACAGTAAATATTTTATTAACACAGAGTCCATGTGGAAAACTTCACGCTGACAGAATAACAGACGTTGAAGCACTCACCGGCTATAGAGTTTGTCCATATTGTAAAGAAGAAGTTTATTCTATCCGTGATGATCCAGAAAGGAAAAACCAAAGAAGATTTTTAAAGCATTGTGAGAAATGTAAAGAAAATAATGGGAGATTAATTCAAGACGTTCAATTGCAAAAGACACAGCAACCATATGCACCACATATTACGAAACAGAAGATATATCAGTGGTTATTAGCTCACAATTTGCAGAAATATTATAAACCGACAAGATATTATATTACTTTTGACTTTGAAACATTAGAGACTAAAGAAGAATTACAACTTTCTGAGTGTGCAACTTTGAACGCTTACTTAAAACCATTCATGGTATCATCAATGGTTAAATTAAATGATAAAACATATACGAGGAATTTTTGCTTAACTTCGAGTGATTCTTTTATTTCTGATTGGATTGAGTTTTTATTTTCAACCTGTTCATTAGTTGCTAAATCAAATATGAGTCAATACAATGAATTATTGAAGCCACAAACGGACTCTTTGAGTCCTGAAGGTCTTTCAGACCAAACGGCGGGGACTTTGTCTCATACATTAAATGAAAAACAGAAGGAAACATTTAAAGAACTTCTAGATGAGGAATTCAATAAAGTGAATATCATAGGTTTTAATTCGGGAAAGTTTGATTTAAATTTAATTCTTCGTGATTTAAACACTGCAAAATGGAAAATAAAATCAATGCTGGGTTCATCTTCACAATTTAAGCAAATCATTGTAAAGAAAACAAACGCTCCATATGAATTGAGATTTATTGACATCAGAAATTATATAGCGGGTGGGACATTAGACCAATTCACTCAAGATTTCGGAAACAATAAATCACGTGTTAAATCCTTTTTCCATTATCAATTCATCACATGGGAAAATTACGAAGAAGAATTATATAAAGTGGAACCATTCACTCAAGAAACTATATCAGATAGTGATTATCAAATATATCTCAATGATGCTAAAAACTTTAAGAATAGATTAGAATATTTTATTCATTATTGCAATAAAGATGTTGAAATTATGATTGACCCAATTGATAAAATTATTGAAGAAACATTTGTTTATAAAATTGACGTGCTTCATAATCTTTCTTTATCATCGAATGCTTCAATGATTCGTTACGCTTTAGCATATAAAGACTTTAATCCTAATGAAAAATATCCTGAGGAAGAGATAGAATCAAGTTTTGAATTAACGAAAAAGTATTGGAAATATAAAATTGAATCATATAAGAAACAAGATGAAAAAGCAGAAAGGGATACTAAAAATAATGTTTCAATGGATGATTTTCAATACTATCACGATTTAATCCTTTCATCTAAATGCAAAATGTGTGGTAAAGCGTTTACATATGCAAATAAACCAACATTGGATAGAATCGATAATGAAAAACCACATACCAAAGAAAATTGTCAGTTAATGTGTTGTTATTGCAATGTCGTAAAATCAAATAAAGATGAAGATGTTCAACGTTTAAGAATCAATTTAAGAAATTATGCATTAAAAAATAATTTACCAATGACTTTAGATTCAGTTGAAGCTTATCACATTCTCCGTAATGGAATTACTGGTGGTTTATCAAATGTTCAACATCGTGTTAATCTTAAAGGAATCACGCACATTAATAAACTTTCATATAATCCAGAAACTAAAACCGTATCAAATGAGGACACCACCAACATTATGACTCATTTCGTTGGAGTTGACTTTAATTCATTATATCCTTCATCATTTTCATCTAATCCTCATGATTTCATTCAATATACTGACCATAAAATGTATATGCCAGGAAGATTGAATGGTGTTATCATTTGTGATACAGCAACAAAGAAAGCAAAAGCACTGGGAATAATTAAGAAAAAAATACTTTATTCGTGGCTGAAGTAAAGGGTCACATTGATGAAAAATACATTAATGATTACATAAACTTTTTACCGATAATAAGAAACTTAGATATTATCACAGATGAAAAAACAATTGGCAGTTTTATGTATAATTACATGAAATCAAACAATCTACCAGTTGACCAGAAACAGAGAAAATTAACTCAATTAGCATCAACACACAACCAATATCAACCATTTTCTTCTTATTATCTTTGGTATCTAATCGACAGATTTCATTTTATCATTGATGACATTCAATCAATTTTAACATTTACTAAAAACACTTGTTTTAATGAATTTGCGAACAAATTTATGAACGAAAGACAAAAGGCTGAATTAGAAGGAAATAAAGGAAAAAGTTTATTTTGCAAGATTTCACTTAATGGATCATATGGTTACGATGCAATGAATACACAAAATTACGCAAAGACTAAAATAATGAATGCACAGAAGGCACGCGTTGCATGTATGTCAAATAAGTTTAAAAACATAAGAGAAATAGGTGAAGATACATATCAAGTGATGCTTAAAGATAGATTTTATAGATGTGATACATGTTTACAAGAGGCATTCTTCACTTTAGATAATGCTAAATACTGGTATTTGGTTTTCATTTATGATTTTATGTATAAATGCATGGATGTTAATCGTTTTCATTTCATTGAAGGTGATACTGATTCATCTTATTGGGCAATCGCTGGCGACCCAAATCTTCCTAACACTCAAGCATTTCAAGCAATTGTTACCGATAAACAATTTTATGATAAAAACATTTTCAAATTCGCACCATTTGATTTCATCTGTTTTGATGAGAAATTTAAACCTAAATTAAAGAATAAAGCTGAAGAAAAAGCACATGAGAAAAAATTATTGGGTTTAGCAATTGAGAAACAAGGTGATAACATGGTTGCTTTATGTCCTAAGTGTTATACATCATTCAACGGTTCAATTGATGGAAGTGATTTTAAAAAGATTGCACAAAAAATGAAGGGTGTTAGTTTAAGACAAAATAAACAATTAACACCCAAAAATTATTTGGATATAATAAATGATAAAGTGATATTTGATGGTCAGAATATTAATTTACAACTTAAAAACGGGTCAATGACTCGCTTAACAATCGGTAAGACTGCATTAACAGGAGCACACACTAAGGCTGTATGTTGTGAAAATGGATGTTGTATGCCATTTATTTAATACAATTTAAAATTTTATTTTTAATGAAATGCCACAGAAGAGACAAAAGGAACCGTTAATGATGGTTTTGATACTATGATTCAAAGATGTTAAACAAATGAGAAACGTTTTAACATTACCAGAAGCTCAAGCATATGCCAAACGTCATGGTCCAAATTGGGAAGCACACGAAGCAGACATTACGGGTCCAAAACATTGATTTTATTTTTATATAAATGAATAGCGTAGATTTAAAAAATTTAATTGATGATTTAGTACTTAATCAAAATTTTCTTGATTATTACGATTTAAAATCATATCTCCAAAAACATAATAAAAATATAACGGGTGATGATATGGAATATTATTATCCATATTATAAAAATGAAATTTTGAAATATCATAATAAAATAATTTCTGAAATTAAAGACAAAATTAAAAATAATGAATATACAAAGGGAAAAACTAAATCACAACTTAAACAGTTGAAAGATTTCAAAAATAAAGTATTAACAGAAGAAGATATTGATGAATTATATAAATTATATAATCCTGAGCCGCAAAATCCAAAGGAACAAAAACAAAAGGTGCAAAACGCCCAGGTCCTTCAGACCATAAATGAAGCACATGCTTTAATTTATGATTCATTAGTTAAACCATATTCAGCCCGACTTTTAAATGAAGATCAACTTTTGGAATTCATCCTTCAACATAAACTCGAAGCGGGAAAGTATATCAAACCTTTATATACAGCATATTTAAAACAAATGAATAGAATACATCCAGAATTAATGAAAGGAGGAATGAATTCCAAAACTTCATCATCCAAAATCAAAGCAGATAAAATTAAACCACTTGCAATACCAAAACCTCCAACGACAGTACCGCCTCCTCCTTCAGTTAATCCTTCATCATTCACTTTATTATATCCATTTCAAACATTAAAGAAGCAAAAAGATTTTAAAAAGGATTTCAAGATATTAAATAAACCAATTGACCCGAAAATTCAACCGTTAAAGGAAAAATTTAGTCGCCCTTCATTTGCACCATATCCATATTCATACGAAATCGATCATCTGGAATATTCAAAAGGAAACGTTACTTATTTATTTGCCATTAACATTAACACTAGATATTTATATTGCATTCCGGTGAAAGGGAAAACAGAACAGGAAACAAGAAGAGCTATTCAATACTTACTAGATCATGAAAGAGTAGATAATATCAGGGGTGATGGTGATAAAGGATTTCAGGCAGCTATGACTCATTATTTCCCACAAATTAATTTTTTCTTTTCATCCTCTCCATATACGTTTCATAATAAAATAGTTGATGCGGTAATGAGAACTCTTAGAGATGCGTTAGGGGTTAATGGTCAGATATACTGGGATGGAAATCATGACTCCATCATACAGCAGTTAGTATATTATTACAATAATACATGGCATAGAACAATAAACATGAAACCAGTGGAAATGAAAAATGATATTTCAAAAGAATGGGAATATATTAGAAAGCAAATGGAAAGGTTGAATGATGTTAAACGTGAACAAATTAATTCGGGGCTCATGAATTTTAAAAAGGGGATAAAGTTTTGATTCATCTCGATTATGGAAAAACTGATAAATCAATGACAAAAAGAAGACGAAGATTTGACACAATAGCTGAATTTGTTAGATATATTAACGGCAATGCATTAGTTGAAGTTGACAATAAATTAATAGAAATTCCGATTTATTTTATTACTCCATTATATTTAAATAATATTTAATTTTTTTTATTTCGTAAGAAATGAGTGACAACGAAGCAGCCAAGAGTCCAGACAATGAATATAAAAAGAAACTAAACAGAATTAAATCAAAAATATGCTATTATAAAAAGAAGCCACAATGTGGTGGGGTTGATGCCCATAAAACTAAAGTAATTGAAAACGATAAAGAGAAGAAGGAAATAATCGAAAAATTAGAAACTTACCGTTCAATCCTTAAACTGAGTGAAGCAAAAATAAAAGAATTTAATAGAATAAATAAATTGATTGGAAGAGATGAATTTAATAAAGATGAATTTTTAAACTCAATCCAAATTTAATTTTTATTCCTCTTTGACAACATCTCTCTTTCCATCATTACTGCATAACCGCATTTTCTCAATTTTAGTGGTTTGTTATTTTTAACATGTTCTTGCATCATTTTTATCATTTCCTCCCTTGTTATGATTCGTGGTAAATTTTGAGCTTGTGGGGTATTCATTTATGATAAAAATAAAAATTTGTCATTAACGACCAAAAATATATTTTATCGTTAATGGTTTCAGTTTATTCAATAATGACTTATTTTTGAAGAACTGAAGGTGTCACCAGGTCACCATGTGTCACCAGGTCATTTAACTTCTCTGAAAAAATGTGACAACATGACATTTTGACAACATTTACGAAAATTTGATGCAGTCCAAAAATAAAGTTAGTTTTATTTTTTCAACTTTTTATTTTGTATGTAAGAACAGAAATGTCAGTCGAAGCAAAAACATTCACGAACAAATCTAATGGCGAAACATTCACAAAAGGCACTTATAACGGTATTGAAGTCTTACGTAGAGACAAGGATGGTTACATTAATGCAACAAATATGTGTCAGCAGTTTAGGAAAGACTTTAGAAAGTTGTTGGAAAATAAGTCCTGGGAAGAGTATTATAAGGCATTTTGTGAAGAATATAGCAACCGCCGGAATTCAGACGGTTGCTTTTTATACAAAATTCATGCAGGAATTCCTGATGAAATCAAACAGGTTAGAGGAACGTATGTAGACCCAAGACTTATAAACTATATAGCAATGTGGGCTTCTCCAAAATATTGCATAGCAGTTGGAAAAATTATGGACTCCATAGACAAGAAAGTTCATGAGAAATTAGATGAAAAAGAACTCGAAGATACAGTTAAAAATGCTAAACCTTTGTTCGAACAAGAAGTCAGAAAAATGCATGAAAAACAATTAGAACATGAACGTGAGATATGTTATGTTTATAGAGATTCTCCATACGAACTAGACCAATGGGAACAAGAAGATTTAAAGAGAGAATTTAGAGAATATGAACTCGCTAAGATAGCATTAGAAGCTGCAGAAAAGAAGTTAAAAGTTTGGGGTCGTTTTGTAAAAAAATATTGTGAGTAAATGAACCATTTATTTTTGTCATTAACGACCAAAAATATATTTTATCGTTAATGGTTTCAGGTTATTCAATAATGACTTATTTTTGAAGAACTGAAGGTGTCACCAGGTCACCATGTGTCACCAGGTCATTTAACTTCTCTGAAAAAGTGTGACAACATGACATTTTGACAACAACACAGGAGGAAGGCAGTTATGACTTATTTTTGAAGAACTGAAGGTGTCACCAGGTCACCAGGTCATTTAACTCATGACATTTTGACAACAACACGGGTTATTCAATAATGACTTATTTTTGAAGAACTGAAGGTGTCACCAGGTCACCAGGTCATTTAACTCATGACATTTTGACAACAACACGGGTTATTCAATAATGACTTATTTTTGAAGAACTGAAGGTGTCACCAGGTCACCATGTGTCACCAGGTCATTTAACTTCTCTGAAAAAATGTGACAACATGACATTTTGACAACATTTACGAAAATTTGATGCAGTCCAAAAATAAAGTTAGTTTTAAAATTATTTTTATTTTTTTATTCCTATATAAATGACAGCAACAAACAACAACAGCAACTTTATCATTTCTGATGAAAAAGTTATTGATTCATTAGCTGAGGAATTAGTTGTGGCAGAAACTAAAACCCTCAACGAAAGAATTGGTGAAAACAGGATTGATTTACATAACTACCTCAAATATGATGGATGAAGAGGAAGGAAAACTGGTATGGCTTTATTAGTAAATAAAATTTCAAATTTAACGATTATAGATGTTGATATCAATAAATCGTACAATGATGAACTTAAAGAAACAGTTAGAAAAGACATTTTATCAAAACTTTCGGATAAAGATGTTATCGTTAAAACCGCATCAGGAGGTCTTCACATTTATTGCAACACTAATTTCTTCTATTCAACCTCGAACAGAATGATTAAATGTTATTCTTGCAATGATTATGATATTGACATAATGACTTCTATGGATGATTCAAAGCGTTCATTAGTGGTTATGGCTGAATCAAGAGTTCGCAAGAATGCAACAGAACCAATCAATACATACTCATTCATTCGTGGAAGTTATGATTCAACTTAACTAGAACAGTGAATGATATATTAAATGATTTGAATATTAAGGTAAGAGTTGAACAAAAGAACGAAGAAATAAAGAGTATAATGAATGAAAACAAAGATGTAAACATTGACGATAAACTTGCCCAGAGCATAGTTGATGGCATCTGTGATTTTGAAGTACATAATGACGGTGGAAACATGAATTTAGAAAAAGAAGTTACATTATTCACACTGTTTCAAGCAATTAATTCGTTACCGGATCATTTAATTAATGAAGCATACGATAACGTTTATAACTTCTGCAATTTAACTGAAAATGCAAAAAGTAATTTTGAAAAAGCACGTAGTAGATATGCACATTTAATGACTTCTCCATTTGTTTTAGTGAAGATTCTAAAACTTTATCAAAAGGAATATTATGATGAATACGTTTTGCCTTTATTACGTAAGCCAAAAATAACATTTGATATCAAACTTGATGACTCGTTTTTGATAACAGATATTAGACGCAAGGCTGAAAATCATCAGTATAAAAACAGTTCTGAAGTAATTGAGGATTTATCACGTGTAATTCGTTTTGTAGATTGTGGAAATAAATATTTCATTCAAAAGGACTATAATATTCATGATAAAATGAATCAAATATCATTCGTTCTTCAATCAAACATGAAAGAGTCACTCAAAATGATTAAATTATTTAAAGAAGAAGGTAAAACAACAACAGCATGGGATGTACTACTAAATCAATTGTCTTCATTAACTGTTAAGGGTGTTTGCTTTAAATCTGATTCCCCAGATGTTTTCTCAACGTTTCAGGGTTATAAATACAACGTTCTCGAAAAGCCTGATTACTCAAAAATTGAGATATTTATGAATTTCATTAAAGAAGCCATTTGTGATAATAATGATGAAGTGTATAAATACCTTCTCGGCTGGATTGCATCAATGATTCAACATCCTGGAATCAAGAATGAAACAGCAATTATTTTGAAAGGACTTCAGGGAACAGGTAAAAACAGATTTACAGACATTATTTCTGAACTTTTCGCCGGTTATTCATGTAAAAACATTACTGAAATAAGTGAGCTAACGGGTAATTTCAATTCAGTTGTTGAAAATAAAATGTTTCTTGTACTTAATGAACTCAAGAATGTAGGTGAAGACAGACTCGCAAACTTCAACGCTTTGAAATCAATTATTACGGATAATGAGATTAGAATTAATGAAAAGAATCAACCCAGAAGAACTGCTCAGAACGTTGCAAACTTCATTTTCGTAACTAACAACATCTACCCTGTCAAAATTGAAGTTGGAGACAGAAGATATGTAGTTTTAAGAGTTAATGGTAAATTCAAGGGTCAATTTGATTACTTCAAGAATTTAATGGATTCATGCACAAAGGAATTTTATGATAATTTACTGACGTATTTTATGCAATATGACCTTTCATCATTTAATGTACGAATCATTCGATGACTGAAGCCAAACAAGATTTAATTGAATTATCAACAAATCCTTTAGATGTATGGATAAATACACATTATGATGAATTGTGTGCAGGTATGACGTGTGAAAATGCTCTATTCTGCAAACCATCAGACATGAAAGACAAAAACTTTCAAATGAGTATTAAGGATAAATGTGATAGGAAACAGATAAGAATAGATGGTAAACAAACATGGTGTTATGTTTTGAAAGAAGAAATGAAAGGATTATATAAACAGGTTGAACCAAACGATAATGAGGAATCATTTACTGACGATGAAATACCTGTAAATGAAGCTTTATAAAGTATGATTGGAATTTATTTTTGCATTCTCCTGTGTTGTTGTCAAAATGTCATGTTGTCACATTTTTTCAGAGAAGTTAAATGACCTGGTGACACATGGTGACCTGGTGACACCTTCAGTTCTTCAAAAATAAGTCATTATTGAATAACCCGTGTTGTTGTCAAAATGTCATGAGTTAAATGACCTGGTGACCTGGTGACACCTTCAGTTCTTCAAAAATAAGTCATAACTGCCTTCCTCCTGTGTTGTTGTCAAAATGTCATGTTGTCACACTTTTTCAGAGAAGTTAAATGACCTGGTGACACATGGTGACCTGGTGACACCTTCAGTTCTTCAAAAATAAGTCATTATTGAATAACCTGAAACCATTAACGTAAACATTAACGTAAACATTAACGTAAACATTTATTTCTGCAGTTCATTGAACTCTATACCATGCGAATACAGTCATAAATGGTGGCATGTATTCTTTACTTTGTCCCGTTGTTTGTGTATATCCTGAAACGAAATGTGTATGGTTTCCTTCTCCCTGAGTGTCATCCCAGTAACAATTTATAGCAAACTTAACATCATCTTTAACATCATATCCTTGACCTTTTGTCATTCCTGACCAATCCCAATATCGATGCTTATGCCAACCCGCTTGAGATGTACTTAAATCTATGTAGTGACTGTGTGCAGGTAAATTTTCACCTGAAATCGTTTTACTTCCCCCTGTTTCCTTTGAAGAGTTTGCACAATACAAAAACCTGTCAACTATTTGTTCCCATGCACCAACACCAAACATTACTTGAGGACCTCTTGCATCCATAGATGTATAAATAGAACCTACTGGGTTCATTAAATCAAACATATGAGATATTATAGGATTGTCTCTTTTGAACTTAAGATATAGTGTAACTATTTCAGGTTTCTTCTGGTTTGTGTCAGAATATTTTTTATAATATAATCTTATGTTTTCAGGGTAGGTAAAATCTTGACTATAATATTTATTTCTGTCATCTGTATAATAATATACTATTCTCGTTTTTTCTATTGCATTATATCTTTTATATCTATAATAATCTAAATATAATGTTAGTTTTTGTTCATCTACATGTGGTGTTCTGTCGTCATCTCCATAGTCATAATAATATGGTGCTAGAGCTGGGTCAGCCAAAGTCATATCTACCATTTCATAAACTCTTAAATATTTCTTTTGTTCGTCTCCATATAAGTTTAAGTAGCAGTTGTTGTCTAATGGAACTTTAACTTGTGTACCATTATTCTTTATATAGCCTACATACATTTCATTGTTATTTTTCGGAATGAGTTTATACCGTATACCATTTTTTAAGGAGTGTACAAACTCCCATCTAAAATATTTGTTTTCTTCATAGATAGAAACATCCCCAACAATAGTTTCAATATTTTTTGTTGTTCCTATCAAACTTTGGTATATTTCGTTAACATAAGTTTTATCTGCCTTCTTATTTAACTCATCGTTAACATAAGTTTTATCTGCTTTAAGATCTAAACATCCTGAAACCCACCCTGTATCAGCTTTAAATTTAAAAGTCTTCAATGTCCATTTATGATACCATTCAACCCTTTCTTTAATTTTTTCATATATTTCATTATCTTTTTCATCCACATAAGTTTTATCTGCCTTCTTATTTAATTCACTATCAACATATTCCTTATCTGCCTTCTTATTTAACTCACTATCAACATAAACCAAATTTGCCTTCTTCATTAATTCACTATCCACATAAGTTTTATCTGCCTTCTTATTTAACTCATCGTTAACATAAGTTTTATCTGCTTTAAGATCTAAACATCCTGAAACCCACCCTGTATCAGCTTTAAATTTAAAAGTCTTCAATGTCCATTTATGATACCATTCAACCCTTTCTTTAATTTTTTCATATATTTCATTATCTTTTTCATCCACATAAGTTTTATCTGCCTTCTTATTTAATTCACTATCAACATATTCCTTATCTGCCTTCTTATTTAACTCACTATCAACATAAACCAAATTTGCCTTCTTCATTAATTCACTATCCACATAAGTTTTATCTGCCTTCTTATTTAATTCACTATCAACATATTCCTTATCTGCCTTCTTATTTAACTCACTATCAACATAAACCAAATTTGCCTTCTTCATTAATTCACTATCCACATAAGTTTTATCTGCCTTCTTATTTAATTCACTATCAACATATTCCTTATCTGCCTTCTTATTTAACTCACTATCAACATAAACCAAATTTGCCTTCTTCATTAATTCACTATCCACATATTCCTTATCTGCCTTCTTCATTATGTCGTTTAGGAAACCTTCTATGAATTCCTCATTTAAATTAAATCTTCCAATCTTCAAAACTTTAGGAAATGCATTTAATGCGTAATATCTCTGTTCTTCTGGTGGAATTGATGTTATATCATCCGTTATTCCTTTAATTTTTGAATTCATAAATAAAATTTCTTTTATATTTGATATCACTGCACCACCTTTGCAAACGAATTCGAAATGTTCATTTTTCAATACTATCTCCAAATCTCCATATTTCAACCTTTGCGTTTGTTCTGCCGTCTTTGAATTATATGCATATATGGCGTATGTAATGGTCTGAAGGACCTGGGTGTTTTGTGCCTTAAGTTGTTGTGGTTTAATCATTTATTATGATTTAAAAATAAATATTTAATCCGTTATCTCATCAGCTATTTTCTCTATTTGAAATTGCCATAATATTTCATTCATGAATTCTAAATCACAATCAAATAGGTCAGTTATTCTAAATTTAATATTTGATAAATCTTTTGAATGAAGAATAAATGAATTCCCGGATAATTGAAACGGATATGATAAAGAAAATGTGTTTAAGTTGATGGATAAAATGTTTTGTATTGATGGGTAAGAGTTAGGGTCTAATGTTTGATGTGAAAATCTCATTGGGGTATTAACTTTATCACATTTGATTAAAATGAAATTGGAACCAGTGTCAGAATACAAAACATCCCCAACATCTTTTTCAAAATTTAATATCCCCAACAATGAACGAAGATGAGGAGTACAAAATTTAATTTTCAGCGGAAATTTAATAAGGTTATTTATTTCATCAAGTTCAAAAAGTTTATCAGGTTTTGATTTAAAATTTTCTTCATACCATACGATAAATGATTCATTTAAATAACTTAAAATCATGTTAATATCCCATTTCGTTATCACATTATTTATATACATATCATACGTTTTTTCATGGTCATCTTTAATAAATGATATATAATCTGAAGGGTCTAAAAGAATGGGATTAAATTTACCACTCACAGAAACGAGAGTAACATTATAAATTCCGCTAACTGTTAAATTTAATTCACAGCTATTATTCGAAATAATATTGATAATTGACATTTTTATTACGAATAAAAATATGGTAAAGCGTTATTTTCCAGTGATAAATAAAACTAGAATAAGATTACCTCAAGAATTCATAAATTCAACGAATAAGAAATTCATTCATGTTATAAATTTTAGTGTTTTCAGAAAATATGAGTCAATGTCATATTCATCAACAGGTTATATTTCACTTCATTCAAATTTAGTTCAATCAAACCCATATAATAACCATTTCATAAGATTTTCAGATGGTATTAAAAATGTAATTGATAGATTAAAATATGAACAGATTGACAATATCGAATTTTTGGAATTTTGGTTTAAATATCCCGATGGAAAAAAGATTGAAGTTAAAGATAAAGCTGATACTATAACAAAAACAATTACAATGACCGATCCAGATAGTGGGGAACAAAAAGAAATAAAACAAACGATAGAAACTGGTGAAAGGTCAATTATTATTGATTATGATTCAAAGGATTATTATTCGATAATGTTAATGCTTGAATATTAAATGGCCTTAACAAAGAATTTTTCAAGTGATATTTTATATTCATCAACTATTTTATTATAAATATCATTATATGTTAAATGAAGTTCAGTTGTTGTTCCGTTCTTTGATATCTTAATTGTGCTAATATCCTTTATAGGATTTATTTTTGCAACTGTTCCGCAGCATGAAACCTCATCATCTATGAAAAATTGAATCTTAACGTCTGAATCTTGAACATCACAAAGAATGGCGATAATGTGAATTAATGATTCATAAGGTAAAATAATTAAACCGGATTGGTCAATTAAATTTATTATTGAATCATAATTATTAATTATTATATCACGGTAAATTTTCATTAATTCAGAATTAATGTCTATTTTATATGGGTTCTCGATGTTTGATGAAAGAGGCGGGGGGTATGTTGGATAAGTGGGAATTTCAACGGGTTCTTTACCGGGTTCAGATAAAATGATTGGGTCTCCAATCTCATGGTTTTCTTCATTCTCCTCCTTTTTCGGTAAGTCACGAGTTAATAAATTTGGTTGAGTTGCTGACCTTGTTAATTCAGGGCTAACATTAACTTTAACATTTTGAATAATTCGTGATTTATCATCATTTACGTTATAACCAACCGTAATCTCTGCTTTTGCGTTAGTGTTCTTTTGACTAGTGAAACGTCTTCTCATTTATAATCGAATAAAAAAATATATTTAAACTTTTATTTTGCTGGAACTTTTGAATCTATTATTCCCTGTATTTGTTCATGAAGTTGATTTTTAGCATTTTCATCGAAATTAATAGACTTAATATATTCATTAATTGCATTCTTATAATCATTTGATTTCTCAAATTTTCTTTTATCTGATTCCTTAACTAAATCATAAGTTAAACCTCGTTGCTGATATAATGGTTTCTTAATTAAATCTTTGAATGCTTGAGATAAAGCACCTGATGCAATTCTTGCTACTATAATTGGTTGGAATTGCTGTTTAAGTTCATCTTTAACATTTGCGAAAACTGGATCGAATAAAGCGACTTTAAAGAATTTCTTAGCTGAAATTTCAGGTCTAATATTTGCATATTGACCATCAAACTGGTTAGAATATCGTGGTAATCCATCCGGTCCCTCTTCAACAGCATTTAATTCTTCATTGAAATAAGAATATGGATTATGACGGTATGAATTAATTGGACCATGTTCACCTTCTCCAATGTATTGTTTAACAGCTTTTCCATTTTCATCAAATTGCATAGGATAACGTTCATTATATGCTTTACGTTTAGGATAATCAGTTATAGTTAATTTATAACCATTTATGACTTTAATATTACCTTGACCATCAGTAACGAAAACTTCATTTATACCATCAGGTTTTCCATTTGGACCCGTAATGTCTGCTTCGTGTGCTTCCCAATTTGGACCTTGACGTTTGGCATATGCTTGAGCTTCTGGTAATGTTAAAACGTTTCTCATTTGTTTAACATCTTTTTGAAGACCAGCAACAATATGAACTAATTCTTTCATTCCATCAGGAACTTTCATAGTTCTATTATATGCACCCTTTTTGTTTGTTCCTTGTTTTAATGGAACCTGTAGAAGATTTGCCATTTCTGTCATGTTTAATTATAAATAAAAAATAAAAATTAATTATAAAAAGTTAATCAAATTTAACACTTCCTTTATTTAAATCAACTATTATTTTTCCATGTTCACCTAATTGCTGATATTGTGTGTAAAGTTCATTAATGCTCATTGGTAAATTCACTTGATAAAGCATAACGTTCAACTGTTGACGACTAAACCCACTGAAAATGAAAAGTGTTGATAGATTTGATTTAATGTTTGTGCTTAATGCTTTGAAATATTGAACAGCCATGAAGAATGAACACTGAATGTGTCGACATTGAGTTAATAACTGATTAAAATATGATTTCTCATTTGTTATTAGTTTTGATTTCACTGCATCATCTAGAAAAATGAGTGAATGCAAAAATTCTCTATCAAAATTTGAAATAGAAAGTGTTTCAAATAATTCATCCCGTTGTTTATCAATAATTTTATCCTCTAATCCTTGCTTCTTGATTGTATTATATAATTCTTTATACATTAAAAAGTTTTTTAAATAATCTTCTGCTTCTTCTTGTGATAAATAAATAATTGGAATTTTGATTAAATGCTTTAAAGATTCAAATGTATCATCTGAAGGTGAACCTGAACGGTTGATATAAATTAACACATGTGAATGGGGGAAGTGTTAGCAATAATGATAATTTGTTTTAATATCGTTAATGTTTTACCTTTATTCTGTTTACCAATTGCTGCAGTGATTGAATTTAAGTAACATTCAGAATATGGAATTTTCATTAATTTTTCCTTAGATAGAGCATTTCTATTATCACTCAATGCTTCATTAATCATATCATCTACGTATGTATTATATACTCCGCTAATTCTTCATAAGGGGTGGATGAATTTAAATCCATTTAATCAAAAATAAATTTATAATTTTAAACATTTCTATTCATCAATATTTCATCATATGAACTTCTATACTGTGGTGGTGTACCTGTTGGATGATATTTCAAACCTTCATCCGGTGTCCATGTCCAATACGTAGTCCTAGTAAACCAAACCTGAGGAGGATTTGTCACCTTTGAACAGTAAGTGTCATTTTCACCCTGAATGATTGGATAAGCTTTCACTTGTACTGTAACTTGTGAGTTGAAAGTTTCTAATCCATCAAAGAATATACCCGCTCCATCACGTTGAACTGGAATAGTGCATAAGAATGAAGTTTGGTCTTTCCATGTTCTAGCTAATGGCGTGCCATCATCATCATTCAGTGGTCTAGTTAATGAGTCCTCGTATTCTTCTGTGCATTCATTCACTCCATCTAAATCAGAAGCTTGAAGCATACGTGTAAAGAATATGTCACCCACTGTGGTCATCGCTTGATCGGGGAAGTTTCTGGAATCTATAGTGACCTGAAGACCTCGAAGCATTGGATTTTCTAAAACCGTTCTTTGCATTGCATTCTTCGGAAATGTTAACACAACATCTGTAACATTATGAAGAGCGTATGAGAAATCTGAGCTGATACCTTCAGGAGTGATGCAACCTCCATTTAGTGAACGAACGTCAATATGTTGAGCTGGAATCATGAATGGATCTTCCTTACTGAATAAACGTGGTATTGCTTTAACTGATTCTTCAATTAAACCGTATCCTGGTGTAATGCATTTATCCTCTAAAACTTCCATCTTTGTGCATGAAATAATAACGTCATCAACTGTTGCGTCAGCAGATGTAGCGGCTAAGCTTGTAATTAATTTGGTAGGAAGTCCGATTTGTTGGAATTTGCGATCATATTTATAAACATGATTCATAATCTTTTCATAATTTTCATCAGTTATCTTTTCATAAACGTAATTTTGTAAATCAGCAACTCTTAACGGGTCAACCTGACAAAATACTAAAGTATCCCTGAAAACATAATATTTAAGAATGATTCACCAAATGATTTAGGATAATCATCGAACGCCTGAAATGCTAACAAATCATTTACCGGAATAATCATATCAAAAGTGACATCAACTTCTTCATTTGCTTTCTTGAAAACTTCTGAAGGGTCAATATATTTACCACATACTGAGTTATCATATTTTTGAACATTATTATATAACGAATGAACAAACTTTTTAACTTTCCTTTCTGATTTTGGTTTATATGTTGCAAATGCGAAAGATTCACGGGCGCAATCCATCTGAAGATAACCGGCATCAC